CAGGCAAATTATGCATTATACAGTATTAGAATTATAATTTTTCCCTAAGAAGGAGGAACTGATGCAACTGTTTCATAATGAGAATACAAACAAACTGCAATCAACCAGCAGCAAGTTACATAATGTGGATTCTGACTAAACAAGATGGACTTTGTACGATCTGGTAGGCCCTTGCAATGGTTTCAGTTTGACCATTCACCAAATGGTTAACAAAGCATAAAATACTGTGCAGAAAAATACAAGAGAGGCATCAAACCAAGCATGAACCGATATCCTTGTGAGCCATTAACCTAACAACTTGCAGAGAAGAGGATGCGATTCTGAGACAACGTCATTTTTGTCCAAGGTTCTTCAGCCTGCTAGAAACACTTCCCCTCTGGTGTGCACAGGATGCACTTGGCTTTCACCTCAGCCCTGAGTCGGAGGCTTGTGGGAGTGGACCCCACATGTGGGGACGGTGCTGCCTACAGGATTATTGAAATGAAGACTTGTGCAGGGTTTGCCACGCCACCTTTTGACCGTATATATGTACAAGTCCAATGCAAATCAGTCACAACCTGGTAAGAGCCACTAAAACAACCATAAACCAGATAAGAAAACATGGACTTTATACTATGGTTATGCCTTTATCATTGGAGGGTCTGAGAAAAAGGCATAATTATAAAGCTATGGAGCTCAACGATCTGTATTGAAAGATTATAATCCTACATTCTGAGCAATTTCCTGTGAGTGCAGTTTTCCTTCTTTTTGGCATCAATGTTTACTTAAGTCTGTCATGTCCAGCCCTGGGCCTAGAAATTTGGTGTGTCTGCAGATTTACTTTCCAAATCCCCTCTTTGAGAACTAAACCAGCTGGTTGCTGACTTAACTGGACCAAATTAACAGCTTCTGCTGCCATAAAATGATCTAGAAAACATGCAGAGACACCGACACTCCAGGACCTAGAATGGACACTCCCAGTAGCTCCTTTCAAACTGTGCAATTGGTGCCCTCTTGTGTTCAGAAATAAAAATGAGCTTGAATGTAATATCACAAGACACAGGATAGGCAACAGGACTACACCACCATACATATAAGCAAGAACCATTCTGATTTTCTGCTGAAGTAAACAGAAATAAAATCAGATTCCAACTGTCCATTACTTTTGTCTCCTGAATCTAATCTTTCAAAATTCACTAGGTTTAGGTTTGCCATAGTGAACAGAATACTATTTTTTTCATAACATTAATATTAAGCATTTCCTGGTCTTTATTGTGGCTTCTAATATTTTATTTGCACTTCGCTTATGCTTTAAGACATTATACCACTTTTTATGACTTGGGTGTACTGTACCTCTGTACAATGTTTCTAGAAGGTTTAGTCATTTATGAAGATAACTGCCCTTTGCTGTATCTGCCGACTGGATTGGTTTTCCATGAAATCCAGTAAAAACAAAACCGTTCACAAAACAGACCGGCAGTGATTGTATTAGCTACTTGACATGAGCAAACAGAATTTGTTTTCTCTTGTCAGCAGGTTGGGTTAACACCTCTACTCTTTGGAATAGTTGCTTATATTGACCAAAACTGTCATGACCTTTGGCTTAATGCCTCATCCGAAGGACAACATTACAATGGGGCATTGGTTAGGAAGTTCCACGGCAGAAGAAAGTACGCCACCTACTGGTCCATCAGTAAACTGGTTTTACGTAGAGGTCTCCCATATGAATATTGACCAGACTCAACCATGCTTTGCTTCCAATATCAGACAAACCACGACACAGAATGGTAACCTTGGCGATATGAAGATCCAGGTTAAATCTGTAAGTGAGACTTTATAAGATGTTCACTAATGGTACACTAATTCTGAGCAGAACTACTGAAATATTATATTCCTTCTTTTTAACTGGAGGGTTAAAGCTAAGTTTAGGTTAACAAGCTTTTCTCAAGAAAGCTTTAATATTTAAGGGGGAACAGAATACATTTCAGAATGCAGTCTCACAAAAGAAAAAAAGCTATTTAGCACTTCTAGTGACCATTCAGAGGTAATTGCTTCTTGCTGTTCAAACCTCAATGAAAGAAGAATCCCATGAAGCCAATAGTTTAGGGATCACACACCCTCAGTTTAAACAGTGCTGAAGGGAGGTTCCAGATCATCACGACTATCTCTACAATGAAGAATCTTCTGTTCTCTACGCAGCAAGCTGGAGTGTTTTTCCAGCACCCTTACACATCCGTTCAATATGAATGTTTTTTTTATTTTTAAAGCAGTTTAATTCATCTCTATTTTCACAAGTTTTACAGTTTTGGCATTGAGTCACAGTAAAATTCACAGCCATAGAGTTCCGTTGACTCAAGTATCACTAAAAGAACAAAAATGCTCACCATTGCCTCTTTTCAGTCAGTCTCTCTGGGATCTCCAAATCTGCTTCTTTTAACAGTGCAAAGATGTTAAAATACTATATTATAGCTTCCTTTACATTTAGTGAAGCCATCTTGTAACTTAATTTGACTGGTTCAGTTTGTTTCAATGACACACAACCTCCAGGCATGTTCTATTAATATTTTATTATGCATAAATATTGCAAAATATTACAAATCAAGCTTTTCTATGTAAATATACAGTAGCAATGTATCTCAACTTTGGAATAGCAAGCTGTCTCCACTCTCATGTTTTCAGCCTTCTGATGGCTTGTAATGTCTGGGTGCAAGTTGGCATTATCTTCTGCCAATGCTGACCGCAGAGAATATCTTGGATTTACAGGCTGAGGAATTCATTCTAAATCAAAACATGCCAAGTCAGTGGACAACGCGGTACACAAAGTTCATTTGGAGTTGTTTTTTTTTGGGTCTGGTCAATCCACAAGCTATACTTAATCTTTAGTGATCGTTCTGAAACACTTGATACAAGCGCACATTGAGCTCTGTAATCCAGGAGTTGGAAGTCTGAATCCAGATCATGTCAGTGCTACTGTGGGGAGGCTTGGGATAAAATAAGAGCTCTCCTTACTGCCAAATACTCACCCCTGCTGCTTTTTGGGGTGACTCATGGTAACGTCATGCCAGTAGCATGTAAAAAAAATGAAAGGAGGTGGGCAAGTCTGGGGAGTCTGTCTGTACTTCCTTGTTTTCCCTGTGTGAGTATAGGGCTCTTCGCTGTGAGCTGAGATGTAAAAATATAATTGGGGATTCCAAACTGAGGGGATACACAATAAAAAAATTTGAAAATTGCACATCAGGTTATTCCTTCATGATTGTCCTTACAGTAATCAGGGGGCTATTAATCAGAATTGATTAAAACCTGAGGAATGTTGAATTCTGTGTTTTCAATGTTTTGGTATTTGCTCATTTATTTGTTCCTGTAATCCAACAATGACTTTATTCATGTATCTGACTTGGATGGTGTTTCCATGGAAATCTTCCACGGTACTTACATGTGCCAAGGAGGGCTGGTGCCTGTGGGCAGACCAGTGTTTTGGAGCAGCAACATAGCCTTCATTGAACTATCATGAGAGAATAGGAGACTGCTGAAATGGTGACTGGCTGGAATCCAAGCTGTTTTTCTCTTTAATGGGATTGGCTATCACAGGTATGACAGCCTTCAGTGACTGGACAGATTTGGGTTCGTCAAGGAAGTGTTCACTCTCCTGTGCCTTTGGGCGTCTCCTGCCACAGAGATAAAGAAAGAGCTTTACATTAAATCTGCTCCTTTGTATATAGTAAGATAGATGAATATTTGAAAAGATCAGTGCAATGAACATGAGAGAGAGACATATTTTAATTAAAGTAGGTAGCTGCGTCAACATGCATAGTCTGCAAAGGAACATGGTTTATCCCGTGCTGAAAAAAGAAAGGAAACAACGTGTTGGCTGTGGAGCCTTCTTTGGGTGTCACACATTGTGTTTCCTTTCTTCTCTTTTCAACATGGAATAAACCTTTGTTTGTTCCTTTGCAGCCTACGTATGGTAACGCAGCTACAGTACCTACTTGAACTACTTCAGCCTATGTCTGGTGCAACCCACTATGTCTTCCGCTAAATCATTTTCTAGATCTCTTCATCGTTCCTTGCCCCCTTCTCTCATCAAATCAGCCTTCTGCATCTTCACAGCAATCTGTTCCAAGACCAGGCTTTCTAACCACCTCCTATTCCTTTACAGATGTCGTCATTACAATATTGTTCCCAAAGGATTTTGCCTGAAATTGAACACTTTTTCCTTTGACTCTGACACCACCTAGAGTAATACTGAGAGACTTCTACAACACTTTTTGGGGAAACTAAAGCTCTCTACCATTTTCTCCCTCAAACAACAGATTACCTTTTCTGACAACGACATCAAAGAAACTAAGGAATTTTTATGGCTAACAGCTAACTAACCTCATTAGATCCCTCAACTCTAAACTCTACCAGTTCCTTATTTCAGAGAAAAAAAAAGCTCACACCCTTAGAAGGCTCCACTGACGAAATGTTGCGTTTCCTTTCTTTTCAGCATGGAATAAACCTTTAACTTGTTCCATGATTTAATTAATATTAAGATCACTCACTAATCACTTCGCATTTTATGTTGTAGCTCTTTTTCTGCACCTCACCTCCATTCTACAGATGTTTCCCATGAATCCATCATGGGGACTTTTTTTCACTCACTCTACAACTGCTTTTCAAGTTTCCTTATTTCTTCCCATGGCTTTTCCTTCTAGTTCAACGCTAATAATAGTCAGATCTTCCTCTCTTTTGTCCTTCGAGTTTATGTAGCTATCAGCTCATTCTTGCTGGAGGCACTCCTTTTACCTCAGATACCAAAGATCTTGGAGTTACCATTGATCCCTACCTTTCAACTAGTTGATTTTTGCCAAAGGCATCAGCCATGGAATTTAAAAATCTTGTTTTGTAACTATAAAATGCAGTATTTTTACAAATGAGTTGAGAAGAACTCTAAGACAGGAACATACAGTCTCCTGCTCCAAGGTTAAAGGTTAAAAGGATAATGAAGGAATGATATAGGCAATAGAAGACACTGCAGAAGCTGTTTTTTAGGCAACACCATGCCTACATGTGTGAAGTGTTGTCTTACCATGGACCAGTCCTTCTTATAAGTAGTGATTATGATTTACTGCATCTTGCCGGATTCTAAGTGCTACTGAAAGGCACTTCAAGTATTAGTCACTTGAAAAAGGCTGAAAAGCTTTGAAAAAATTAGACTAGATTAGATTAGGAAACCAACGTTTTCAGCTAACAGTACTTAAAAGTAGTTACAGTAGCTTGCAAATGACATCTGGCTTTCCCACATAACTCCGTATAATCACAGTCCCCATTGTAGCAGAACTGACAATTTTATCATTACCTTCTCATCCCCTGCGTCTTTCTGTCTCTCCTCTTCCTTGGCCTGTGCCTGTGTTTCTTCTTCTCCTTTGACCTTGTTGTCACTGTGGCTCAGACTGCCCTGCTCTGGATTGGCCTCACTCAGGCCCTCTGGTGCTCCTTCTGCAGCCTGGGTCTCGACTGCGGAATCCTGCCCAGACCCCTTCACTGTTTCACTTGCTTTTTTCGTGTCCGGGGCCTCCTGGGCAGCATCACAGATCACCTGAGCCTTGTCCAGTGCATCTTTACCTTCAGGGTCCACTTTGTCCTGCGTGTCTTTGGCTGTAGAGCCATCCTGCTCCATCCCCTCTTCAGGGGTCTTGATCTGTCCTACTGCGTCTTTGGGAGGCACATCTTTGGGCTCCTTGGCCACCTCAAACACGTCATCCTCCCCATTCTGCTGTGGGCTCTCCTGGGGAGTTTTGCCCGTGGGCTCCTCTGATGCGGACTTCCTGTGCTGTCGGGAGGGGGGCCTGCGCTTGATAGACACACGCACTCGACCCTGATTGGATAAAAAAAACAGCTAGAAGGAGGCACTATAGTGACTTGTTAATCCTTGACACTTGAACCAATGTTCTGCTATGGCTTCCTATGATTTCACTTTGTTTCACTAATTTGGTTCTGATTAGCAATTACTACTACTAATAGGATTATGAGTACATACAGTAAGGACTACGGACAAAGTGAGCATGATCTATAGCTGCTATATCGAGTACAGTAAAACACTACCATTGTGTTGAAATCATATGCTCTATGCAGAGAACTCTTGTATGTACTATATTTCAATATTTTCCATCCACTACTCATAAATAAGGATATAATTATTTTTTTACCAGATGTGGCTTGGTATGGGTCCTTGTTTTATTTTATTTCTACTGGAATCTGAGGTGGATACTTGTGTTCTTATGAAGTAATAATACTTGTGTTCTTGTGTCACCAGTATGCACCTGCAGATCTGCAAGGGGGTGGTAACTCTCACTACGCTCTATCACAGCATGCACTCCCCTACTGGCTCTCTGGGGTACATGACCAGGACCGGGCAGGCTAGAGCTGGTCATGTGATGGGTGATAACCTCGACTGACTATACTGTACAACAGCAGCTCCTGTGAGGTCCTCTGACAGGAGATCAAGCCAGAAGAATGCTTACACAGGTTCTCCTTCTCTCCATGCAGTACAGGGGTAGCAGAGATAAGCTGATTTGAGATTTGACAGTTGGCAATTCCAAACTACAAAGGTGCAAATACAAAAATAGCCAAACTCCCAATGAAAAAGCAAGACCAAGTATTTTAATACACAACAGATATCCCTACATCAAAATCTACCAAAGGAAAGACTCAGAATGCAGAAGGCGAGAACAGTGCTGCATTGAACAGTGCTACAGTTTCAGCTGAATGAGTTCAAGAAAGGAGGTTAAGATGATTAGCCATGCATGTAACAAAAGCTGAGTGAAATGCCCTGTAAGACTTTAACAAGATTAACTGCAGCCCTTCTTTATGCAAGTACATATCTCACATACTGTATACAACACACATATTTAAAGGTTTAGTCCAGGGGTATCCAATCCTGGTCCTAAATGTCCAACGTCTTTGCAGGTTGTCATTCCAACTCAGCTCAAAGATCTAAATCAGCTTGTTAAAGGCTCAGTTGGACACATTTAAAAACATTTCCCAGCTCTTCAGGTGTTGGTGTTTTGAAGATTCCAGGATTGGACACAGCTAATTTAACATATGTAGCCATTTGTTTTGTCAAAGCCACATGACTTTCTAATATAAGCGATGCTATTAAACATACACACATACTGTACTGTATGCACACAATGTATGTATACTGAGCACACATGCACTCTACTCATTGAACAAATTGCAGAGAAATTTATACCACTAGTTACTACAAGATCCCATTGCTTTAAATTGTTATTAATTCTGACCTATGTATTTTTATGTGTTGCATATTTGACATTATTTATTACCTGTTGTTGAAGTCATATGAAAATGTGTTCTATTTATTGTGTATACTGATATTTATTATGCACAACAGTCTCTTGTGTATTTTAATTAGTTAAGTAGCACATGAATCATGGCACTTTGAATACATCTTCTCCTAATGACCTAATCCCACAGATTGTTGACTTAACTGGGACAATTGAACAGCTTCTCTCAGCTCTTCAGGTTCTCCTGCTTTAATTAGACCTTGAAATCCTGCAGACACACAGCCCTCCAGAATCAGGACTTGACACATCCAATGCAGGGGCTGTCAATGACCTACTCGCTAAATTGATGACACAGCACCTCTTGTGCCTGGGATATGGACACTGACCTTAATGTATACTGTAGCACGTCACTAATAATTTACCAAATAGCATAATAACCGCCTTAATCTCTATAATATTTGGACATATTCAGAGTGCAGAATAATAATGTAGTGCCACGCAGGGTGGGACTACGGCATTGTATATAGTGGGGCGGAAGCTTGGAGACAGCCTCTTCCCTTTGTGTGTGTGTGTGTATTAGTGAATGTGCAGCGCTGTATCCCCGTCCCTATGTGTGTACCTTTCCCCGGTTCGAGTTAATAATAGTGTTGTTCAACCCCATTCCCTGAGTCATGCCTGCTCCATTCCTCGCTGAACCCAAATTCGTTACAATAATAATAGCTTACACTTATATAGTGCTTTTCTGGACACTCCACCACCACCAATGTGCAGCATCCACCTGAATGATGCGACGGCAGCCATAGTGCGCCAGAACGCTCACCACACATCAGCTATCAGTGGGGAGGAAGCAGAGTAATGAAGCCAATTCTTAGATGGGGATTATTAGGAGGCCATGATTGGTAAGGGCCAATGGGAAATTTGGCCAGTACGCCGGGGTTACGCCCCTACTCTTTTCGAGACAGAGAGTCAGGACCTCGGTTTTACGCCTCATCCAAAGGACAGCACCTGTTTACAGTATAGTGTCCCCGTCACTATACTGGGGCATTAGGACCCACATGGACCGCAGGGTGAGCGCCCCCTGCTGGCCCCACTAACACCTTTTCCAGCAGCAACCTTAGCTTTCCCAGGAGGTCTCTCACCCAGGTACTGACCTGGCTCACACCTGCTTAGCTTCAGTGGGTTACCAGTTGTGAGTTGCAGAGTGACATGGCTATCTGGCCTGAATGAATGAATAAATGCAAATGCACACAGACCTTTCCTTTTTTATTTATGGTTCTTATATGGATTATCCATCCATTTTCTAACTGCTTTATCCAATATAGGGTTGGCAGGTGGAAGGCAGGGATCAGTTTTCCCAAAAGTGAATTAAGCTACTGGTATGTTTTTGGACTATGTGAGGAAACTGGAGAACCCAGAGGAAACTCCTGCAAACACGGGGAGAACATCTAAACTCCATACAGACAGCACCCCAGGAACTGAACCCGAGGGCCCCAGCACTGTGAGGCAGCAATGCTGACCACTGCACCAGCTCATGTAGGCTGTTGGGTTACCTGCCCACAACCAGCAGAGTGAAGAATGAAATGAGGAGAAAATTACCTTTTCGCCTTTTAAGGAAAAGAGCAAAGATCCACACAATGTAATGCTTATTTAAAATGGTTCATTGCTTGACGTGGCAGCCCTAGTTAAAAGAAGGGGAACTCAAAAAATGTCACTACACATGCTGTTTTGATATGGGTTAAATATACAATATACTGTAAGGACAAAAGTCAAGTCCAGAATAAAAATATAAAACTGCATTATTTTCTCTCTCAATACAAGTCTCAGAATGGAATGGGTTTTGTTCAATGAGAGAGTGTGGTAGGGTGCTTTACTGTATATAATTGAAGTATATTATGAATGAGCATTTGTAAAGCCCCTGAGTAACTTAAATCACTTGTTTCCTAGTTTCTTTAGGGCTCACCACTGAACAATGACTGAGGCTTGTGCTACATTAAGGCAGTAGAGAATAAGGAATATTTAAATACCAATATATGATGATATAATTTCACAAGCAGTCCTTTTTGCATTTAATATATAAGAATACAATAAATCATATTCCTCCTGTTTAGCTCTGCAGTCTTTTACTGTAAGTGTTTTGTTTATGCAATTTATTGTAGTAAAAGTAAATGTGTGGATGAGTTCTGATCCTTTTAATACTAGGCTTTTTCTACACTTTGATATTCCTGGCATTTTTAAAGTAATAACTTCTGTGGAATGATGTTGGATCTTTTTAGTAAGAATCCACCAAGGCAGAAACTTTAAGGTAGGCTGATTAACCAGGGAAACTTCTCTAACTGTTCTATTGATATACTGTAGAACTTTTCAGGGCCCACAGCCTTTAACATTATGCCACTAAAATGCCTCTTTCACCTTCTACAGTTTAAGCAGTCGTGAAACTTGTTGGATTCAAAATGAAACTATCCATCCATTATGAGAAGTCTGTCCATTCTATATATGGGTAATTGTGACTAGAAACTTTTGCTAGAAGCATGGCTTGCAAGACAAAGCTTAATGCCATCCTTAGCAGAGTGCACACACCCACACTGACCATTTAGAGATTGCAATTAACCTAGCCAGCACATCTTTGTAACTTGGGTGGAAGCTGGAAACTTTTTTCTAATACATAGAATATGACATAATTCTCTGACACATACTGTACTTTGTACAGTATTAATGCCCTGCAGAATTCTCTGGCCTGAACTACCAGATCTGAATGCATTTATATCAACTCAGCTTTTTGCTTGGAAGCATCCTGAAATGAAGCTGCAATGACAAGGCCCTGTTCTGACAGATACAAAAGGACGCCCACTGAGCACTGCAATCGTCCCGCACTGACACAGGCCCTCTGCCTCTCAGACGTTACCTTGCTGATGCTAGGTAGCACAGTCCCCTCCACTGGCTTCTCGAAGCTAACAGGAACTTCGTCTTCAGAGGAGCGAGAGCGGACGGTGGGGCTGTGGGGCGTGGAAGGGGGGCTGGTGAAGGGCGAGGGGTGCAGTTTGATTCCAGGGCTCTTGGGGGAGGGCAGCAGGGCAGTGGGTGACAGTGCAAGGTTGGCCTGAAAAGAGACCAGATTTGGGGAGATTCAGTCATGGCTTTCAGGAGGAACAAAAAAGCAGGCATTCGCGCTACTAGACATAAAGCAATTACTGTAGAATGGTAAACTACTAAGATGAAATTTAAAAAGAGGAGATTACAACGATCATTCAGGAGGGCAGCCATCCTAAACCATTATCATTTACTGATGTCAAGTAAAAAAAACCCTGCAAATGCTATACATAAACTCCTTTTTTGTTTCATATTCGTCTCTTGCATCCCTCCTCTACCCAATCACCACCCTTCCAGCTGCCCCTTGGTCAACTTCTCACTCTTCATTTTCAAAAGCAAAACCTGAAAGGTAACTAGACATCCCTCAATAGAGACAGCACAGCAAGGGGGTCCCAGACTCCTCGTCCTGTGGCCAGGAGGTTGGTCCCCAGCCAAGAGTGTTCAGCCACAATTACTTTGACTAAAACACTCAAACATAATCAATACACTTACTGTATATTCTTAGAAATCCACATTAAAATAAACTATTAGTTATGTAATACTGGGAACATAAAACAGTTTTATGTTCACAGTATCAGTTTTATGCAGTAAAAATTAAAGGTCTTCATTAGATCATTTGCATCAAAGGTGAGAACAATTTTAGAATTTAACACATTTGAAGACTGTTAGTTGGGCAGGGTATTCTGTTTGGGGTCCACTTTTAAAAAAAGAGGATGGATAATAAAACAATATAAAATTGGCAGGTGAGGAAGCAAAATGAGCCATATTGCTCAGATACAGTATGTAGCATAATTAACGTAATTGGTTAGATGTGAGGAGATGAACACAGCTCATAAAAAAACAGTGAAAAAACTTCATTCAGAATTATTGCTGCAGGTAGCAGCAGGGCTGTTAATTGGGATGCATTTCAGCTTACCAAGAGCTAAGCCAGTCCTTAAGATGGTCCAATTCTTATATAGAATTACAGACTTTGTAACTGATAAAAAATATTGATACACTGAAGGAGCTATAAATGTAAAAGTAATTGTCAATATCTTTAAGTATAACTCATTTTCTATAGCCACCTGACAGAACCACATACATACTGCTAACAAATTTACACGTATACCAAAAATAGTGCTATTTTTTGCAGAGGCATACAGAACATTGTTAAATAAACTGAAATTGTGAATGTGCACAACCCTGGGCACTCACTGAAAATCTCAATAGACTCGGGTCATACCTGCACAGGAGAAAAGAAGAAAAGAGACAAACGGCAGCCCTTTTGGCCCATACTGGGGAGATTCCACAACTTGCAACTTTTCCAGCTCAGCTCCCAGCCCATCTGACAGGCAATGAGTTTGGTAGCAGCTGACACACAGTAATCCAATTAACCCGAGCTGCTTTGAACGGAATCTGAAAGGGACTAAAGTGCTGCATCCAGTGCCATAACACTAGATGGCAGTCCTACTTAAGAAAAGAAGCTGGAATTCATTTCTCCTTAGTCTTCTACTTGTTTAAATTGCACTTTATTGTTGAAAGTTGCAAATTGTTTTCCTCTGAACAAATCAAACTGCATGAAAAGTCAGATCCTATCTATAGGATAAACATTTCACAAAACGGAAGAGGGCTGAGCAGTTAATTTACACTCGAAGGAATTACACAGAGGAACAGGTGACAATCTCATGTTAATTTCTCTAGGGGAAGAAGAACAGAAGCTAGTGTAGGCCACACTTTAACAAAAG